TAAAGAAAATTATCTGAAAAAAAAAATCACAGCCAATGCTGCTGCTTCTTCTGTAACATCGTCGTCATCGTCGCCGTCATCACCCATAACGAGTGAAGCTGCCGTAATTGATGCGATTGTTCCTCCGATGATGAGTCAACGAGAGAAAGTCGCGACTACTTTTGTTACTGCTACGCTTGCTTCTTCATTTTCACTTTATTACCTACATCGAATATCGCCGGGCACTGTTAATAAAACAATTGATCTGACATTATTAGCACTAGTACGCGCTATTGATGTGTTAGTTCGATATATATATCAGGAACGTATTCCGGAGCATACAAAACAGAAATGGATACCGAAATGGTTGAGCGACCATATTGATACTTTGGCATTTGTGTGTAGCTGCAGTGAGATCATGTTTGCGTGGTTTTACGCTCCAAAGAGATTGCCAAGGTAAGAAACATTACATTTATCAATGTTTTTTATGTGATAAATAATTTGATGATTTCTCACGAGCAGATTAAATTAGCTCTTATATAGAATGGATAGATCATATGGCACATATTGATCCACGAATTATGGCGACACTTCGTCTCATTAGAAATGGAGAAATTGAATATGGACGCGACACAGGCCATTCAAGAATTTTGAGCGAATATGCTGCTGAAGTAGGATTAGATCCTAGCATGGGTGATCCTGTTAATGGACCAATACCTTGCGTATTGGTGCATGGGAATGAGACGAGATTTTGCGAAGTTCATGCAGGGATAAAATGGTTTCGAGGTTTTTTGATGGCACTAAAAGTATATTTCATTATTTCGTTGATTTTTAATGGCAATCGAATCGAATCATAATTTAATAATGATTGCTATGTACCAAAGGTATATCTTCCGATCCACGGTCTCCCACCATTAGTCTTTCGCACTAATGAAGTAATACAAAAGCCAATGGACTTTATTACACACATATTCACATCAACATCACAGTCTGCATCCTTCCTCGCAACATTTATAACCGCCATTTGGTACTCTTGTTGTTTCACGCGAAGTCGAATAGGACCCATTTTACTACCATGGGTAAACAAAACACGCTGGGACAGATTAGGACCACTTCTCGGGTGCTTTGTATGCGGATTCTCGCTGATGTTGGAGAATAAACGACGTCGAAGTGAGATGGCTTTGTATGTGGCACCACGAGCATTAATCAGTTTCTGGAGTCGGTTGGTCGGCGAGAATGAGTGGTGGAACGAAGCCAATACATTGAAAGAGTTGGGTGAGGTGGGGCTGTTTGGTTTTGCGATGGGTGTGGTGGTCACGGCAATGAAATATCGTAAGGGGATTGTAAGGCCGATGGTGAGAGGTGCGCTCTCTTGGGTGCTTGATGTTTAAAGAAAGGAAACTTTATATTTTCTTTGGATTGGGACTGTAAATTTTTTAGATGAATAAGAAGAATGAGGAGGAAAAAGGAGAAGATCTCCTATTTTTTGTAATATAGAAAATATATATGTTGGATTTTTGTTATAATAGAATTTTTTTATTATTTCTTCTATTACTTTCGGTTTTCTTTGTCATACACCACCAACCATCGCTCACTCACCGCTTATTCCTCGCTTCGCTTGATGTGCAAACGTGATTGATGGTATCATTCATCATCATTGCGCAATAAAAACATCTTATGATTGTATATAGATAAATATACACAATATGTTAAGAATGACGCGCGTTATTAAAAATTTTAGGACTTGGGATTATCGTTATCATTTTAGTCATGTATTATATATAATGCTATCTATTATCTATTTGTACGACAAGGATAATAACTATTTACAAGCATTTCGTCCCGTATATATTAGAATAAAGCGCGTGTACTCTAGATTCGTTTTTTATACTATAAAATCTTTTGTATATAGAAGTACGTACACACAAAAAAATGGCCTCGGCTAGTGGTTTACAACGAAGGCGCAATGCGGGTGGTCTAAATTCATCAGGGTCATCATCAAATGATACATATTTATCTGCCACCAATTCAAATAGCAATAGTAACGGCATCACAACCAATACCATAGATCGAAGCATAATATCTGATAATGGAGTGAAGATTGCAGTCGATCCCAAAGATTCGCTGGACGACCAAGATAGAAAACAACCGAAACTCACACTCATGGAAGAAGTTTTGTTGCTGGGGTTGAAGGATAAACAGGTAGGCGATAATTGAAATTTTTACGCTTGTATCGTAGTTTAATTACGCATAATAGTTAAAGTAGTGGATTTTTTTTATTCGATTTGTTATTTTTTGTTTTATTTTTTTG